TCCTCAGCATATACCCTGGCTGTTACAGCCCTGGCCAAAAGATATCAACCACAGCTACTCTAACTTGTTTTACAAAGGAAGAACGATAACCAACTTCAACAATAAGAATAAAATGAGAGTGTTTGGATGTAAATTGGATTAATAAATTATATTGCTGCTTTGTTGAAGGGATGAAAACGTTTTATTTGTGTTAGAGGAGCCATTTATGTGTTAAAAATGTCTGAAGGAACATTGTTCACAGCTCAGGAATCACAAGAGAACAATCCACTGTGCCTTGATTTAAGCCTTCAAGTACTGTCCTCCAAAAAACAGAGTATCTTGTAAACACATTCCCGATCAATTAAGCAACAGTCTGGAGTGTTAAAAGGGTTATTTCTTATTTTCACATTTCAAGTAGTTTTAGGAAGTGGTCATTCCCTTTTCTGTCTTAATAAAGCTTGTCCTACTTAGAGATGACAAGAGCCATTTGCTATGAGGTGACAGGCTGTACCTGAGCTCTGCCAGAAGGGGCAGCTGAGCAGGGCACACAGGGGTGCTGGGAGAGAGCTGGCAGGGCTCAGTGCTGAGGGGAGGGAAAAGAAGCAGGAGAAGAGTAAGAGGGGGAAAGCCGTAAGGAAGGGGCAGAAAGGCAGACCGTAAGGGATGAGCAGAGATTTAAAATCACAAAAATCTTCCAAAATCTCAGAGACACCAAATTTCTAGTTGCTCTTTCCAAGCACGTCCAACAGCCCTTTGGAAAACAGTCACTACTCCTTGCCCAACCATCTCCTCCCCATGGGTGACAATGTCCTGTTGCTACCAGCCCCTGCATGAATTCCGTGACCTTAGGAGCACAGCTGGGATTCACTGGGATTCCTTTTGTTGTTTTAATTAGGACTCTTATGAACTTAAATTAAAAGAGATTGTTACTGCTCTTCCAAAGTGAAATACAAAGCAGGTAAAGGAACAGAAATTTCATGCCCAACCTCACCACATTATTTTGTGTGTTTTAGTGCTCCCTTCCACTGTGAGCTTGTTTCCAAAGGATCCTTACCACAGTCAGAGTAGGGCAGGGAGATTTAGGGTGTTTGTTTTCTCCCAGAGGCTGGCATTAAATAATAGGTAAGGCAAGGGATTGTATCAACAATAATACGATTAGACTGTTGGATGCGGAGTTAACATTTAAGGAGGGCAAGCCAGCATCAAGCCCCTGCTTAGAAGAAAATAAAAGAGGTAACCAGCCTTATCAGCTGGAAGAAGCTTGAACAATGCCTAATGATGTGAAGACATACTGTGAGCCCCAACGCATCAGCTTGTCTGTTCAGGCAGTCAAAAAAGCTGAACACCAGCCTAGAGGCGCCCCTGCAGTCTGCCAAAACAAGTCCAAACTGATGAGACCCCTGCACACTGCAGTGTTTGCTAGGGATTTTCTAGTTTGATGTTAAGTTTTTCCCCCCACTTCTCAATACCCAGCATGAAATGCTAAAACAGTGTGTTTACCGTCGTTTTCATTTAGCGTTCCTGTGCTGCTCTTACAGCTGCATTTGAAGTTAATGGAAATTCCTCTTTGAACATGTGAAACGCTGTGTAACGCTAAGAACTCTTGACAACAATCCGGCATTTGATATTTGCCAGACACTTTAATAGCTTCAGCCCAAGTCTCTCAGTTCTCCTGCTGTAGGCATGATAACGTGCCCAGTGCCATCGCTGTGCTCCAGAAATAATTTAATTAATGTGGGAGGAAGCTGGGTGCCATAGAGAGAGAAGCACAGAAGCTCTCACAACTGTCACCCTGTGTGCGGGGAAGGATAGTAAATAGAATAAGCGAGGCCTGAGGCTGTATGTGGAATGATCAGAGCAAAAAGGCAGCACTGTAATCATACAGCAAGGCATGGGCCCTCTGAAAAAGAGCCTGTGGTTACGCAGTTAAAGGCACAAGAGCTTGTACACAGAGCTGGACACATTGCATCTGGAGGGGTATTTCTTCTATTTGGAGAACTTGTAACCTTAGCATTTTTAGTGTGTGATTTTGGCCAAAACGTGTGCTTTTAGTCTGAGTGCTGCTGTCTCATATCCTGATGAGCTTCTGTAGGTGAGCACTCACCACACTGCCATGTTTAAAGGTTCTGTTGATCTGCACTTTCTTATTTTTGTGTGTAGGTCACAGCAGTGCCCTTTTCCTTGTTATCTGTTGTATTCCCTGGACTCTTGTTATCTCTTAGTGAAAAGGGTACCTACCACATGTTCCAGCTCCAGCCCCACAGCCTCATCTCCATTCTGCTCACCAGGCATGTTCACAGCTTAAGCACATCACCTTTTATAACTCCAACACAATCTATGTGCTGATTATGAATTAACCTCTTCAGAGACTCACAATTAGTGAAACAAAACACGTGCTTTGTATAGGGGGTCCTATTGTGCTCAATACTTACTCTTTCCTTTCTGGAGGGTTGATATCAGAATTGTTTTAAGTATATGGGCTTTAAACCACAAATCTTCTCTCACAAACGGCAAAACTGACTGTTCTTTAGTTGAATTAACCACCAATGATACAAAAGGAAGCCCTTCTGTTCTGCTCAAGGTTTCTGTATGTATCAAATCCTCCCCAAAGCTCTTGAGATTAATATTTTATAAGTTCTCATGTCAATTAGGTCAAATACTAACCTCATTATTCTCCCATTTAAAGATTTCTAAACTCTCTTTCTGCAGACATATCTAATTATTTTGCTTTGCTAAGCTGTAGCTGTCCTGTTTTCCTGGTGGGATGCTGTCCCTGGCTTCAGCAGCACTGCCTGGCAGCATGTGGCTGATTTGGCATAAACTTACTGAAACCTTCAGGTGGGAAGGGACCCCGGGGCATTCCTACTACAGCCTGCTGCTCACAGCAGGGGCAGGTCTGAGGTCAGATCAGGCTGCTTGGCGCTTTATTGGATCTGTCCTTAAATGCCCCCAAGGATGGAGACTGCAGAACCTTTCCGGACAGTCTGCTACACTGCTTGGCTGTCCTCACAGGGAGCAAATTTCTTCTTATGTCATGTCTTACGTAAAGTTTTCAGTCATGCCTGTTGTCTCTTGTCCTCCCACCGCTGTGAAGAGCCTGTTTTCATAGCAGTGCTGCGTCCCCCTGAAGCTGCCTCTTCTCTGGGCTGAAGAAGCCTTATTCCATCAGTCTCACCTTATAGAGCCCCGACTGTCTGGGTCACCTCCAGTAGGATGGAGACACCTCCTGTGCTCCCAAGACAGCCGGCTGGAAGACCTAGAAACACTCTGACTTTCCTTTAAGGTGATCCCTGAGCTCTGGTAGAGGCTGAGGTCCCTGCAGTACACTGCACATGGTGACAGAGCACTGTCCTCACAGCCCCTGGGTAAGAACTCCCAGATTGCGCCCTCTGCTTAGGGCTGTCACCCTCCCTGCAACACTGAGATCCAGGAGTGTGATCCTGTGCATTTGGTGAATTAAACCCCTCAGTGTCATGAGGGGGAAGCCCTGCTTGTTCAACCTGATTTCCTTCTATGACAGGGTAACCCACCTAGCTGATCTAGGAAAGCCAGTAGATATAATCTTTCTGGACTTCAGCAAAGCTTTTGATACTGTCTCGCACAGTATCCTTCTGGACAAAATGTCCAGCACACAGCTGGATAACCATGTTATGCAAAGGGTGAGCAACTGGCTCACAGGTCGAGCACAGAGAGTTATAGGGAATGGGGTAACCTCAGGATGGAGTCTGGTCACCAGTGGGGTTCCACAGGGCTCCATCTTAGGCCAGTTTTCTTCAACATATTCATTAAGAACCTGGATGCAGGACTCAAAGGAATACTAAGTGACTTTGCTGATGATACTAAATTGGGAGGAGCTGTCAACTCCCTCGAAAGCAGAGAGGCCCTGCAGAGAGACCTTGACCTATTAGAGGGCTGGGCAATCACCAACCATATGAAGTTTAACAAGGGCAAGCACCGAAATTCTGCACCCAGGATGGGGCAACCCTGACTGTGTGTAGAGGCTGGAGACCAGCGCTGCAGAAAGGGACCTGGGGGTCCTGGTCAGTGGCAAGTTGAATGTGAGTCAGCAGTGCCCTGGCAGCCAGGAGGGCCAACCGTGTCCTGGGGGGCATCAGGCAAAACACAGCCAGCCGGTCGAGGGAGGGGATTGTCCCGCTCTGCTCTGCACTGGGGCCACCTCACCTTGAATATTGTGGCAGTTTTGGGCACCACAATATAAGAAAGATATTAAGCTATTAGAGAGTATCCAAAGGAGGGCAACAAAGATGATGAAGGGCATGAGGGGGAGCCGTGTGAGGAGCAGCTGAGGGCACTTGGTCTGTTCAGCCTGGAGAAGAGGAAACTGAGGGGAGACCTCACTGCAGTTACAACTTCCTTGGGAGGGGGAGAGGAGAGGCAGGCACTGATCTCTGCTCTGGGGTGAGCAGGGATAGGACCCGAGGGAATAGCATGAAGCTGAGTCGGGAGAGATTTAGGTTGGATATCGGGAAAGGGCTCTTCCCCCAGAGGGTGGTTGGGCACTGGAACAGGCTCCCTGGGGAAGTGGTCACAGCTCCAAGCCTGACAGAGCTCAAGAAGCATTTGGATGATGCTCTCAGGCACATGGTGTGAGTTTCGGGAAGGTCCTGTGCAGGGCCGGGAGTTGGAGTCGATGATCCTTGTGGACCCCTCCCAGCTCAGCATATTCTGTGATTCTATGCTTGTAGGACTCTGTTATAAGAGCAGCAGGTCAGTGCTCCTTGGCGTGAGGCGGGAGAAGGGGTGTCACGGCACTGCCAAGGGCTCACAAGGCCGTGCACTGCAGCGATGCCAACCGTGGTCAGCGGGCCGAGGGGGCTGGGCTGGTGTTCTCCATCCCTCCGTGCCGCTCGGTGCCGTGCGACAGGGTCTCGCCAGGGGACACGTCCCCGCATCGTCCCCGCCGCCCCGCTCGGGGACGGGGGGCGTGGCCACGGGCGCGGGGGCGTGGTCAGGGCGCGGCCGCGGCCCCTCCCCCGGGCAGGGGTGGGCGGGGCGTAGCGCGCGCGGCCGCGCGTGTCAGAGTGGCTGCGCCTCGCTCGCGCCCGCCGCTGCCGCCGCCGCCGCCGCCGCCATGGACAGCGACGAGGAGACGCTGGAGGAGGTCGTGGAAGGTGCGTGTCCCGCGGCCGTGGGGAGCGCGCCCCGCCGGGCACGGCCAGCGCCGCAGGGCACCGGCGGCCTCCCGCGCTGCTGGAGGAGTCTGGGGAGGAGCGCGGGGTGGCGGCGGCGGCGGCCGGAGCGGGGCGGCCGGGGCCGGCGGCAGCGCATGACATCAGCGGGGCTTATGCAACGGGCGGGCCGGGGCCGCCGCCGCCGCCGCGCACGTGGCGGGGTCTGGGCCAGGGGGAGCCGAGGCCACGGTTCCGGGCGGGCGCGCTGGGGGCCGTCCGTCCGCCGCTGAGCGCCCCGGGCGCGGCGGGAGGCTCCGCATCCCGGGCACGGCGGTGGCGGCTGCTCAGCTCTCAGTGTCAAAAATAACCAGTGTCACAAATAAACAGTCGGGGATTTTTTTGCCGCTGCCGTGCCCCCGCTCGCACTCCTGCAGCCCGCGCTCCCCGCCCCGTGCGGTGCCCGGCGCTTTTCCCCCACCGGTGGCGGAGGGGCCGGGGGATGCCCGTCCTTGGGGAGAGTGCAGGGAGCAAGGCGCTGCAGTTGCGCACCTGCAGATGGAGAAGGGAGAAGGGAAAAGGAAAGGCGGCTGTAAGAAATAGCCGTGGCCACATCCCTGGGCAGCGGGGCGGGAGCCATCCGTAAAGGAGCAGGGCAGGCCACCTCCTAGCCAATATACACGCACTGTGTGTGTGTGTGTACACACCTGTGTATACACCTGCATATACACGCCTCTTGTGAGTGGAGGACTAACCCTTGAGAGTTTTAGACCAGAGGAGTGAATTACTCTCCGGGAGTGAATTAGTGCTGGAAACCTCCTTGTCACGCAGGAATGCGGCTCCCCAGCGCAGTGTGTCATCCCGTGAGGCACCCGGGAGCCGGGCACGGTTCTGGAACAAAGCGCGGCATCTCTGCGTGAAGGCGCCTGCTCCCCAAAAGGTTCCTCGCGGGGACCGCGGCCCTGCCGGGAGGAGCGGTCCTGGGTTTTTCAGATGCTGGGATTAAGCGCACACGGAGCAAGGAGCTGCCTGCGATAAGATGCTGGTGTAATGCTCATTGTTCCGCCATGGGCTGCTCGTATCCCTGTGGCAGGAGGATTAGGCCTCAGAGCATGTTGCTCCAGCGAAGGCATTTTGCACGGTGGCTTAGTCTGACGACAGATGCGAGCTGAGCAGCTGCTGCTCGGATCTGGGCTTGTTGTCTCTAGGTATGTGGTATCGGAGCCGAAGGGAAGCTTTGCTGTGTAAAACATGGGTGTGAGGTATGAGTGGGGTGTGCCCTGTGCCCTAAGAGACGTGGTTTTCCCCTCCTTTCCCTCCCCACTCCTCAAATCATCCGATGGCAATTGTGTCTGGGGCAAAGAGTCATAGTTTTGATCCCTATGTCACAGATAAATACACATTTGCCGTATCCTGGATTTGCTTAGCATTCAGCTAAGGAAGCGAATTTTCTAAGCATGTTTTATTCAGCAGTGTATATGAATATCTCTATTTGAATATCTGTATATAGGTATCTGACAGGAGCAGGGTGCTCTGGGGGTTAGGATGACTGGGTGGTTTTGCATTTACCAAAAGGAAGTTAGAAATATGAAAGAAATCAGCACTTTTTTTTGGGGGGGGGAGCAGGGGGAGGTTGGTTTTCTGTTGTTATCCAAAAAAAATCCATCTGGCACCTTTGTGGCCAGAATCTTTTATTGATGATGCACATTGTATGTCATCTGTTAAGTAATACCGACAATAAAGGGCTTTTATCTTTGATTTGTGTACATCAGTGGTTCCGGTAAGTGACCCCATTGTGAACTAACCCCTATTAGTGTAATTCCTTTTCTTGAAAAGGCTGAGCTTAAGAGGAAATCTTGAGAGACCCTTAAGGAAGTAACAAAAGTGAGATATTGCAATAATTTAAAAATACGTTTACACCTTTTAGGTTTGCTTTTCCAAATGGAGGAGAGTGATGAGAAAGGGAAGTGGAGCACACTGCTACCGCTGAAATAATGAGGACTTTTTCCATTGACTTAATCTGAAACAGAAGGCCTAAGGCCTCAGCCATACAGGAAAAGTTGCATCTATGTTATGAAACTTGAAATTTCTTTTTCTCCCCCCCTATTGACTAAGAGAGACTGTGTGTTTCTTGTTTTGTTGAAGTAGAGGGGGGTGGTGATTTTTATTTTTTTTAATAAGGGGAAATCTCTGGCATATTAGAATAACTGGATTCTTTGTATTGTGGCTGAGATTAAGACCCTGTATAGAGGCCATGGGATCAAAGCTGACCATTTAAGTCTGTGATATAGTCTCTGTCCTGCTGTGCTAAAGTCCTGACATGCGCTCTGTGTGTAAGCATGGCAGCTTTTGTGCTGGGCTTTGCATTCCAGCAAAATCTTGACAAAACTGAATAGTCACAGTGAACAAAGTCGCAAGGGGTTTTTTTTTGTTGTTGTTGTTTTGTATGGGTTTTTTAATAGTATAATGCACCTGTATTGTCAGTATATTTTTTAAATCCAAGTGTTTTATAAAAGTTTTGCCCCTATAGTGAGGGGGAAACTGGTGCTGTGTTGTTTAGGGTTTGTTAACTTACACCAGTGTGCCCTTCCCATTTTGATAAAATTGAGGCTTTTAATTAAAACTATGGATGTTGATATAGGTTTTTTGGTTCTAAAAGAGGTGTCCCCATAGAAATTTCACTGACCTTTTAGTTAAATTGACATAACTGCTAAAACTTTTCACTGCTACAGAAAGGAGTATCCTGACTGAATGAGAGTTAAAAAAGCTCTTTTTTTTGTTTGGAAAGAGCAGCCTCTGTTTAAAGGGTTCCTCTTCAAAGTTATTAAAAGCCTTCAGTGATGGAGCTTTTTTCCTTCTGCCTTTTGCTCTCTCTTTTTACTCTATTATTTCTCTCACTTCGGTCTGTAAGCAGTGCCTGATTGGTTTTATTAACTTCTTAAACTTTTAATTGTTTTCGATCTAATTGGGACTGAAGACTTAAATTGAGAGCTCAGTGATGTGCAGGTGTGAGAGAAACTTTGTGGAGCATGCATGGGAAGGGTGAAGGAGGGAATCCTGGCTCTTGGATGAGTTCAGATATCTCACTGATATTTTCTCCTGTACACCCTTCTAGATGCATTTCCATACTCGATGTATCATGTGCAGGAGATGGGTAATGAAGATGCACAGCCTAACTTGGTCACTTTGAGGAACATTCACTTCTTTTTTCCCCTTCCTGTATCTCTCTCTCTCTTTTTTTTTTTTTTTTAAGGTAATTTTACTTTGAAATAGACCAAAGTTTGGAAATAAATCCTGACAAAGGATGTGCATGTGACATTTTGCTGTCAATCCTTCTGGTAATTGCAAGGCTTGGGCAGGCCATGTGCCTCATAGGAGAGGACTTCTGAACCAGACGTTCACCGTGCCCTGGCTGTGATGTCCCTGAGGGGCCGTGGAGCATCCCAAGGAAGCAGTAGCTTATGGTGATGTGAGAGGAACACATGGGCATGTGTGTGCTCTCTGGGTACCCTTGTCCCTGCAGAACCTTCAGGGCTTGCATAGATGGACCTCTGAAGCCACATAGGTGGCTGGCTTTTCCCACTGCTGTCCTGCACAGTCCTGTTCCCTCTCTGGGCATAGGGCTGGAGATCTGGTAGTACTGAAGTGCCTCTGTCTGGTTGCCTGCATCAACCTGGGCTGTAATTGCTTCAACTCACACTGAAGTTTGTTTCTGCCTTTCCATGTGTGTGTTGAACCTTTTCAGTTTAGGGCAAATTTGGTCAGGGGAGAGCTTGACCCAAAGCCTGTAGAAGTGGAGACGTGCTGTCTCTCATAAGGTATGTATGCATCACCAGGAGACTTGGGGAATCTGAGGTCATTTTTTATTTAGAAGCATGGAAGAACATAAATATAGGCTAGCTTTTATTTACTTGACAGTTTTCATGCAGAATTTATGCCTGCTGAAATGTCACGGTGGGAGTTTGTTACACCCTCCCAGGTGAGCAGCCCTGCCGAGCTCTGCAGCCACAGCAGTGCTCAGGACTCCAGCTTCACACAGGTAAACCAGGCAATAACCATCCTTTAAAGCACTCTTCTGCCCTTTTCTCTGGGCTTTGTAGGGCCACTCAGAGGTGCAACAGGAGCCTTATTATGCTTTAAATTAGGTTGTGCTGGTGAGGATCCACGTATGTTGCCCCTTTGCAACAGCTGTAATGGGGAAAACTGATATGGCTGGGAAAGGGAACAGGATGTAAAGTGAACACATCAGGAAGGCATTGGAGAACAGCATTTAAAATATTAAGTACCAAGTTGACTGACATACTGCAAGCATTATAGATATTACATACTTTTATTTCTTTAAATTCTTGTGGATATAGGTGCAAGGTGGCACACCCACATTATTGTAAGGCATGTATTTATCAAAAGAAAAAAATCGAACCTTTTGTTACTGTGTGTACTGAAGTGTAAATTTATTCTGTTCTCACCAAGAAACACATGTTTTAGACAAAGAATTATTATATTTTTGAAGATGTATATTAATATAAGTTAGAATAATATAAAACTTGATTCTTTTAGAAACAATTTTTGCTTATTATTCTCTTCTGTCTCTCATCCCCTTTCTTTTATCCTGACCCTTTTTTAAATGATGTGTTACACAAGTGCAAACTTCACTTGCACTGAGTCTCTGGTCACTATTCTAACAGCAATGATTTGAATTACTGTTTTGTACTAGGGAGCTACTGCATTTCAAGCATCTACAGAATCTGAACAGGTTTGAAAATTTATATAATAATTAATGTGTTCTGTTGTTCTTTGTCTGGATTTTATTTCAGGGCATCTAGATGATGATGGGCTGCCACATGGATTTTGTACAGTAACCTACTCATCAACAGACAGATTTGAAGGAAACTTTGTGCATGGAGAAAAGAATGGCCGTGGCAAATTCTTCTTTTTTGATGGAAGGTAGACTCTACCTCTTCAGCTTTTCTTCTATATTCTTCCTTCTGCTTGTAATGATACAAACTAATTTACGTTCATTGTATGCTGCTGACTTTCTAGATAAGGTTTCTCATTAAAAACTATAGCTGGAAAGTTTGTTGCTGCTGTAGCCATTCCTCTGTAGGCTTGGGGGCTTTGTGTCTAATGTGGTGCTTGTAGTTGTTTCCTGGTGGGAGAATACAGTGGTGTGAGCTCTTTTAGTACTGTAAATTATAAACTAATTAGAAACCCTAAGAACTGGGAGGTGGTCAGAACTATTAGAAACCATGCTGACAATGGCTTGGACATCAAAGTTCAAGTCCATAACTGCAGGTGGAATTCTTTGTCTTATAGTGCTGTACAGAGAGTGCAGTGGACTGGGAGCTCCCTATGCCAGCCTTCATGCACAGATGTAGGACCTTGACAGAGAGGCTTATCCTCTGTTTGGTCTTGGAAATTGTTTAGTGGTTCGAGGACTGAGTTAAAGACAGGTTTGTTACCAACTCTAGTTAATCCTCTGCTAGTTGCTTGTGGCCTGATTTACTTTCAGAAAAGCCCCTGTAATTTCCCTTCTTTTCGCTGGGAATTTGACAGTGAAATCGGGCCAGTCTGTGCCGATGCATGTGTTTTCTTCCTAGATTTTCTTTACGAACACCTTGTAAGTCTTCCCCCCCACTGCAGCATTCCTCTCTGCAGTTGCCCAGAACTTCCTCCAAAGGAGCAGCAGATGTATAAAATGACACGATTCTTCATGGTTTTGCAGCTGTCGGTGGCACTATGAATAGCAGCTGTTAAACTGACAGTCGTGCTGGGTCTACTCTCCGCCTGCTCAGCAAAGTTCTGAGCAGGAGTGGAGGTATTGTGCTGTCTCAGTGAGTCAGCTCCTTGTCTGTATTGGCCTTTGCAGTTGTTTCATACTGGAGATTGTGGGGGTTTTTTTCATGAGAAAGATAATATATTCATTCAGTTATGCAGAAACCGATCGGGCCTCCAAGCCTGGATGAAGAAAAATCCCCTCTGTTGTTGGTCATGGGCTTATTAAATCTGCTCTGAGTAACTGAAAACCAGGACTACCCAGCAGCTGACTTTTCCAAAATAGCTTTTTTTTTTTTTTAAATTGGCAGACAGTGTCTCTATGGACACATGTGCATAATGCTTCTGTGCTTGTGGATGATCTCAGCAGAGCAGTTGCTGATTGTACAGTCAGAGGAACTGACCTGCTATTTTGTTTGTAGGGCTACTCCTCCATGTAATCCAGGGTACAGGCAGTGCTCTGTGGGAAAAGTCAGGTTGCTGCTGAACCTTTTCTCTACGGCTTCAGTGTTGCCAGCTCTTCTCTCTCTTTTTTTTTTTGGTTGTATAATTTTCATAACCCTTAAAAAAATGGAACAGTTGGCTACTGATGACTTCAGGAAGTAGCAGAATGAAAATATGCAAAAATAGTCTGTAATGTGTTTTTGGAAGATGGGGTATTTTTATAAGACATCACATATTTTAATTTAGCTAAAGCAGCCTTAACTGAGCAGTGCCTAATTACTGAAGATGTAATTTACCTAGCTATGCCCAGCTAGCAAGATTGAGTTGCTCTCTGAAATGGATGGTTCAGGAATCGCGATGTGTTGCAGGAAGAATGACCTGGCATAAAACAGGACATGCTGTTTCCATTAACTGTGCCACGGGCAAGGCTGAGTGCTCATGAAGAAGAGAAATTAATCTCCAGAATTTCTCCAAACACCTCTCCCTTTGCAGTAAGTTAGCTGGTTTCAGCACTCCTGGGTCTGTTTCCCTGGCAGGCTGCTGGTAAAGGCTGACAGCTGCAGTTGGGGAGTAGCTGAGTCCTGTCAGATATTGGACAGGCTGCAGTGTAAGCACTCTCATTTTTTGAGTGTTGGGGAATAAGACTGGCTGCCTGGCTGCCTTGTTTGGTCAAGGAAAACTTTCCCCTTTACTGGAATAGCTGCCCCCTTCCTGTTGATTATTTAAAGGAATGAAAACCTGGAATGAAATATCAGCCGGGTTTTTTCTCCCCCTTCAAAAAAATGCAACAAACCCCAACATATTCTTTCAGAGAGAGAAGTTTCACCTCTGGCATACTCCCTGTTCTGCATTGTGTACTTGAGCTTTCCTTGGTGCCAGCACTTCTGGAGTGTACTTTGCAGAGCACTTGGTGCAATAAGGGCGAGCCTGAGAGCCATGCTTGGCACAGAGCTGCAGCTGCCCTTCTCCCGCAACTGGAAACTCCTGTAAACTACCTCCCAGAACACAGCACAAAACTATTCTTTTTGGGAAAAAGTTTCTGATGTTCCCATATGGAGGGAGTGAGAGATGAATAGATCAGTTTATATGGATGTTAACGTAATACCTGGAGCAGGGAAGGACATTGCAGTATTTCCTCCCCTCCTCACCCTGAGCTCTTACCACGGGTTTGCTTTTTAGGTAATGAGTATCTTCAGTCCCTTCTAGGCATAATGGATAACGGGGAGACAGCACACCTGGCAGATCTTGACTTTAGTAAAACTTTATGTTATCAGAAATATGATCATATGAGAAACAAATCAGAGAAATATAGGCTAGCTCAGAGTTTAACAGGATTTTTTTTATGGAAGACACAGAAACTATTTATTCCTCTTTGTGCTGGTCAGGTCTTAGCTGCAATTATCATGTCTGGCCGCAGACACCACACTTTGAGAGCTTAAGACAGAATGTGGAGCAGGGTGGAAATAACTCAGAAACTGTGAAAAGTATAAATATTTTAGAGAACCTGAGTTTGAAGGACATGGACTTTTTTCTTCAGGTATCTTTCTTTTGATTTCCTTAGATGAGGTGGATCTTTTGGACACTATTTGCAGCTTAATACAAAGAGAGAACATAGAAATTTGAGTTGCAGTGAAAGATATTTCTCCAATACTGAAGCACTGTTGTAATTTAGCAACTTGTTAACTTCAGCTAATATAACTAAGGGTAACAAGAAGGAGGTTTTTTGTGTTTTTCATTACTTAAACTAGGGGTGGCTGCTTCTTTTAAAGGGTATTTCTGCATGTGGACTCTGTGTGTGTTGTCAGCTACAACGAAATTCAAATCTAGTAATCTGTGATAAACTAAAGGGGAAAGTGGCATCATTTATAGTCAAGTAAAAGCACTGATTCCTGGTGTTTCCCTCATCTACCCTGCTCCTTCCCTGTGCTGTGGTGCAGCTCTGGAGCAACGTGGGTCAAGAAATTCATCTGACTGAAAAATAAAATAGTTTTCCTGCCCCTTCCTGTTTTGCATCTGGTTTGCATTGAGGCTTTTACTGTAATATATTTTCCCATGGAAACCTCAACCAGCTTGCCAAAGTTATGTAAAAACAGAGCATGAGGCTTTAGAAACGAGAAAGTGAATTCTGGAAAAAAACCATTCCTTCCACAACTCTTGAAAATCTGTTTTGTAAAATCATGTAAAACATGTAGAGTCGTGTGCTCACAGACACGTGTTTGGGCTTATACCTTAGATGCCTTCATCTGAAAAAAAACTAAGCAGTGAAACTATGTGTACTGCAGCTGACTGTTAGCTGAGTGTGGTGGAGGAAAAGCTGAACAGTTTGTATTCCCTTATCCTAGTTCTAACATGAGAAAGAAGTAACTGAGTAGACCCCCTTTTATGGTTATGCCTTTATTCTTTGTGATGCAGACTGCGAGGTGTTACTGTGCCCTGTCTAAAGGGTTTGCAAGACAAAACCAAATTGTGAAACGTTTCTTTGTTCAAACTCAAGTGCAACACTAGTTCTGTTTGACAGGCTGTGTTCCATTTTAATAGAAATACATGAGAAATGACAGTGCTTTTAGCAAACTCCTGTACAAATGGCTGCTAAGTGTATTGCTGGGGAGCTGGTACCGAAGTGTAGCGGGTTGCAGTTCGTGCTCTGCCGTGGTTCATCTGTCTGGCAGCTCAGTTTCACCTCGCCAGAGAGACGTTGGTAAAGTTCCACACATGGCAAGTAGAAGGTCCTGCTGTGAGAGTAGCCTGCTTGAGCAATAATTTCTCCTTTGACCGGGAGTGTCCATTCACTGCTGTAAGTTGCTATTCCAGCCTGCAAAAGAATGCTGAGCACTGTGATTTAGATGAGTGATGCTGTGCCCCTGCACTGTGATGAAAGGACACTGTAAGTTGTTTTCTGCCTTTGGAGCTCCACAGAAACAAGTTTCTGGTTTTCCTCTTGGCTTTCCAGTGTGTTGAGGCTTTGGGTTCACCTGAAAGAGAGGTGAATAGTTTTCCACTGCTGTTTTCTTTCTCCCTTTACCAGCACCCTGGAAGGGTACTACGTTGATGACGCCCTGCAAGGCCAGGGAATCTACACTTATGAGGATGGAGTGGTCCTTCATGGCACATATGTGGATGGAGAGCTGAATGGACCAGCCCAGGAGTATGACAGCGACGGGCGGCTGATATTCAAAGGGCAGTATAAGGACAACATCCGACATGGAGTCTGTTGGATTTATTACCCGGTAAGCCTGGCCACCTGCTCTCTTTATTGCACAATATGTACCTTTCTTTTCTCCCCAGCTGAAACAAATACCCACCATGACTCAGTTATCCAAAAGTCAACACACAGAAATCTGGGTAAAAGATCTGTGCATTCTGATTTTTGGAAAACCCAACATGCAGTTAAAAAGCTTTTCGGTGTTGAATGCTTGCCCAGTAGGCGAGATTCAGCAAGGCTGCAAGATGCCTCCACTGTCTTCATCTTCCAGGGAACCCAGCCCCTTGGAAGTGCATTTATATATAATTTGTATGTAATGTAAAAATAATATGTATAACAGTTTATGCATTATCTCTTTGAGAAGGCTGGACCAATAGTTTCGCCACCTTGTAGTGGTGGCTGCAGGTGAGGAGCAAGGAAACCATGCAAATTATTGCTCTTATTTAGTTAGACCTTGTCTCCATTTCTGCAGGGTATGCTGTGACATCTGGTTTTGCCCAACAAATCAAATATGAGGGGTGTGAGAACAGTGCCTCTTGAGTAGAGTGTGGACAAGTGCTTTGTTAATTAAGCAAGCCAAAATTTTATCTTTCTGAATTTTCATAAAAAACTTTCGCAAAAATTTTTGTTGTTCTTCTATAGCCATCCTAGTTAAGGCAATAATGGTTGTACTAGTTTTTAGGTTTTTTTTAATTTTAGTTCCTATTCAGCCCTACACAGCACTCCAGACTTGAACCTTTCAGTCTTTACCTTGTGCCGAGAAGGGGGAAACCTCTGCATGTAATTAAGCTGCTGGTCAAAACCTAGTGTATTTCTGTGCCACATATGGCACAAACTTTAGTTGCAGATTCATTTCTAAATGCTTACCACTGGCTGTTCATTTTATTTACTGGTTTTCACTGTTGCCATTAAGCATGTGCTAGGATCAACAAATGCTTGGTGAACACTGCCAAAAGATTTTCAGTCCTAGTATATAAAATACAAACAGCTGACCCTTCAGTTCGTGTATCTCCTGCTTCATCTTCCAGCTGTCAAAGTGTTGCTGTACTTTCTGGAAATGTGGGTAATTAGAGGTTGTTTATCATTATCATCTTGCCAGACTTAAGGATGCAAAGTGTTCCAAAAAAACGCCTTTGCCATGGAAGAAATTCTTTCTTCATGATTCTGTGCATGATGCTATGTGCACAAATTTTTCCAAGACTTCAGATTCTCTGTTCCCCACTACAGCTTGCTTGAAACTCTTTTCATCCTTGCAGTTGAACAAAATGGTGTCACTTTGAAATAGAGTCTGTGCGCAGTGGTCTTGATCTAAATCAGTCTGTTGCCACATCACACCTGCTGGTTTTGCTCCAGGGTGTATTTGGAGAGGCTTCTCTGTCCCTTTTGAAATAAACACCTGAAGTGGTTAGACCTGTGCTAATTCATGCATCTCATTCTGCAGTTCTGTAAATAGACATAGCCCGAGTTGCAGGCAAATCACAGATGGCAAAGCCCGGGGCTAAAATGTGTAAACCTGAGAGAGGAAAAGTGTTGCTGCTGATGGCTTTCAGCAAACAGTTGTTCTTACTGAGCACCACTTGACATTGTGGGGGGGATACTGAGACAGAGACACTCTCCTGTCATCCAGCAAAACTTTTTTTTTTCCTTAATAGGCTCAGGTCTTTTAAGGCACCATGAATTAGCAGCGAGCAAGGCAGCGTTTAATTGTTTTCTTTCCTCCAGCACAGTATCCTACTAACCAAACTTGGACATCCGTGTGGCTTTGGGCCTTGGTTTGCAGACTCTTCACATAAAAATTTTGCCAGTTGGAACTCTGTATTTGTGTCACATGGAAGGAAAGACCTTGGGTTTTGCCTATTCCAAACAACAGAGAAAACCCCGTTCACTTCTATTATCAGTTTTATACTAAGTGAAATGACTTTATCCGGCTTCTTCTTGGGACTGCTTTCTCTCTCATTTGCACAATTTCATATCTGAACTAGACTGCTTTTTAAAAAAGTTGGGGAAAATCCTTTTCATTTAATGAAGACAGTATAGTGTAACTGAATGCCTTGCCTTTTCTTTCTTGCCTGTGCTTTCAGGATGGAGGCAGCCTTGTGGGAGAAGTGAATGAAGAAGGGGAGATGACTGGAGAAAAAATAGCCTATGTGTATCCAGATGGAAAGACTGCATATTCTGGAAGGTTCATAGATGGAGAAATGATAGAAGCAAAACTGGCAACTCTGACAGCTGTCGAGGATGGGAAACCTCAATTTGAAGTTGTACCAGGCAGTAAGTTCAGCTAACACAGAAACTTGTATTCTACCAACTCTTTGCTACAGACAGCTTGGTTCCTATAACGCTCCCCCCTAGAGATTCTGGCTGTGATGAGCTAGTAAGTCTGTTAGTGAGAGTCCCCTTCTCTAAGTTATAAAGTTGGGTGGAGAGGCAGGTGGAGGGATTCCTTTGCTCTTGGTACAGGCAGGAAGTGACCCCTGCATGGTCCTGCCAAACTGTGTTTCATAGCCTTTCTCTCAGTCGTGTGCTCGTGGGCACAGTCCTGTTTGTCACACACACCATCCTCCTCTGTGCCAGCAGGAAAACCTGCTTCACCACGTTACTGCTGGCACAGTTACAGGCTTTTTGTTAGTAAAATAACTACAAATGGAGAGGGAGGCCATGGTTTGGTTGTAGCCCTGACAGCTGGCTCTGTGCAAGTTGGTGTTAGCACTGTGAATGTTCTGGCACCTGTGTCACTGGGCTGGAAGGACACAGGGATTGCAATTAGTGAACCAGATTCAGTCATTGTGTAACAGTCTGAGTCACCAGCACTTCAGTCTGTCTAGTCCTGCTCATAGAGAGTGGCTGTGAAGTGCATGGGGGCAGGGTGGTGTCTGTGACCTGTGTAGCCAGTGCTCCTTCTCTAGAGCAGTGGTGGCTTGGACCTACAGTTCTGGAGTGGTTTTGTTGCTCTGAGGTGTGTGTGATGTTTCGGAGGTGTGTGGGTTAAGCTGCAGACAGGACCATCAGTAACAAGCAGGGACCATGATAATGCATTTAATTATTTTGCCAGCAGAGGTTGTCTCACTTGATATGAAACAGACACATAAAACTCATTGACAAGCAAATGCACGTGAGTTTAAATCTCTCAGTTATGATAGCGAGTCAAAATTTAACTTAAAACTTACCTTCTAAGAGAGTGCAGCTGTGCTTTGTAAATAGGATTAAATTATACTCTGGAGGAAGCTGCCTTAAGCCATAACAGATCCTGGACACCAGGGGCAATGGCCTTTCATCAAACTTTGTAATACTCTGTTTTGCAGGGTTTTTCTCCCTATCTTATTTCTGCCTTCATCTTAACCGGTCTCCCAGATAGTTCCCCGGCAGTTGAGAGAGGGATGTGAGAATCTAATTAGAGGTGTACCACTGAATTGCTTATTATTGGCAAGAAACAAATGACTGTAGCATGTGTGTTCTCTGACTACTGAACATTATCTTCTGTCTGAAGTATCTTCAGGATTTGGACTAGAAAATACTTCATATTTTAAGTAGTCCAAGATATTTTATAATTAATGTTTTATTGAATGTATCCTTCTAAATTTTGCTTTGCTTTTAAATGATATTTTGAGACTCTGGGAGTGTTAGTTTTGAAAGATTGTCCAGTCCTCTATTACAAGTTGATAGTTTGAAGAAAATACGTTATTACCTTTTTGTGTTAATACTGCCACTCTAGTATGTTGAGGGGAAGAATCTTGCTGAAGGCTTTTTACAGGTACAGTTCTGTTTAGTACCTTTTTTTGGAAGCATAACATTTTTGTCAGACGTTAAAATTTAATTTTTGAATGTCTTGATTCAGTTAAGGGTTGCATGCTTTCAGTGCTGCCAATTAGTTTATTTCCTTTGTCGATGTCTGGTTTTTTTTAGGCCCAGTATACAGTTTTGACAAATCTACTTCATCCTGCATTTCTACAAATGCCCTTCTTCCTGATCCGTACGAATCAGAGAGGTAGGCTTTTTTCCTTCTCCCAATGTTTCTTTGCTGTTATATATTTAGAGCCTAATTTTGCAAACCTTTCTCATCTAAAATTTTTAAAAAGGTTTGTAAGGGTTTTGTGAAATGGAAGCTGTTACTGTACATCAGTCAGTGTTTGACTTGATTGACTTTCTTTCCAATTCACACAATAAAATTGCACTCTGGTGGATGAAACACAATGATACATTTTAAGAGATTAAACTAGGGTAATTTCTTAGCATTTCAAAAGCATGTTCAGTCAAGCCCTGGACTCCACTATAGCCCACATATACAAAATGTTCTGACAAAAAAAAAATGCTGTTCCCTGTTTTCTAGATGTGTAACTAGCTTACAGGGTGCTGCATTCAGGGTCTCTTGCTGGGTGGCATGTGTTGTACAAAATTTTCTCCCCTCCCTACAGATGTGGGAAAGCAGCAAGAGTAAATCATCAACCTGGAGGAAAGTGAAATACTGTTTGTGACAACCCTGTAATGTCAAAAAACATTGCTCAGGAATTGCCTCGTGATAGATATTCAGGAATATCTCTTCTGTGGCTATTCCACAATTACACTTTTACCTAGACCTTTAGGAGGCCTTGCTCTGTATATACCTCAACTGTAGTCCTTTCCTGATACTCTGAAGTGTCTAAATAAGTGGTTAGTAAAATGCTGGCATTGATTTGCATTGAGTCTTTGAATATGTAGCACTTTACCTTCAGAACTCTTGCTCATCTGTGCATGTACATTCCAGCAACCTCAGCTTGGTGGGGACCTCTGGGATTTGTGGTGTGTTATTGAGGGCGTTCCTGAGTTGAAGCCATCACTGAGGAGTAACAGTAGATTGACACTTGCAAAAAGTAATTTTCAAAGTCACACCCACTTCCCACCAAATTTCAGTTTTGCCAAAATAGAGAGAGTGTATAGAAGAGAGGAAGGGAAGGAGTTCCATTTAGAGATTCCGAATTGTTGTTATTATTAGCTTTATTGTTATACTGAAGTATTAGTCTTTATCCCAGTAGTGTTGTGATAATACTTCTTGAAAATTAAAACTGTAGCCAGTCACTAATCCCATGCCCTCTTCCTCCTGTAGGGTGTATGTGGATGTCTCTCTCATTTCCAGTGCTGGAGAAGGATTGTTTTCAAAAGTAGCAGCAGAAGCCAGTACAGTGATGTCCTTTTACAACGGAGTGCGAATTACACACCAGGAGGTAAAGAAGAGAAAAAAGTCAGTCTGAATTCTCATTGCTCCTTCTGAAGTTTTCTTCTCACAGGATTTTATACCCATCACCTTCCCACCTTTAAAATTTAATGTGATAGAGTTTAATTGAAAGAAAGTGCATGTTGACTTATGTATGGCTAAAAAAAAGGTGGTGGGTTTTTTTTTAAATGACACACAGATGAAAAGCCTTAGTTGCATATATTTTGAATGTTGGCTTTCAAACTGCTGACAAAGTTGACCCCACAGACTCTGGATTTTTGCCTTGTAAACTAGGTAGACAGCAGAGACTGGGCCCTCAATGGAAATACAATATCCCTGGATGATGAAACAGTCATAGACGTGCCAGAGCCCTACAACCACGCTGCCAAGTACTGTGCCTCGCTGGGGCATAAGGCCAACCATTCTTTCACTCCTAACTGCATCTACGACCCGTGAGTAGAGTGCTGTGTTTCGGGGTAGAAGCTGCAGCCCAGCTCTCTGGGCTCACAGATTGTCTCTGGCAGCTGGATAAGGAGCAGTGGTGGGGTGGGAGCAATAGGTTCGGGCACTGAAGGAGTTTCTGCTCACCTAGGCTGAGTTGGAAATGGGCTGGCATTGCAGGTGCTTGATGTCTGTTGAGACTTACACCATGGAGTATCTTGAAGTTTGCAGCTGTGTTAGTTTTGTCAGGAAATTTATGAAATGCTTCTTGATTCTAAAATGCATAATCACAGTTCTCTAAATCCTAGCTTGGCTAGGACTGCGCTGTCCTTTGCTGGTTACTGATGCTTGACCAGCACCATCAAATGTGCTGTTGTTTTTGAAACTCAGAAAAAATAAGCATCTTGCTGCTCTGCACCAGGAAGCTTTTCATGTAACCGTATGCTCATAGCAAGGTATAAACAAACACACCCGTGGATACATCTATGTAGAAAAATAGTTTTCCTGCATTAAACAAGCTGGGTTCCTTTACTGTGGGACCCTGGGAGAAGATGTACAGAAGTATGTTACCATTGTTAGGTGGTTAACCTGTACTAAGATGAGCCATTTAGCATGCTCTCCAGTCTCTCATAATCTGTACTGTTTTCCTGTCATGCAGATGTTTACCTCTGCAAACCCAAGGCACGTGGCAGTGATTAACTGTTTTATTTTTTATTACAAGCAAGCAATTTTTCAGGACTCTTGAAAAACTTCAGATAATAGAGCTACACAAAACTCCTTTGATATATCAGTATTTTTGCTCTTGTTCTGAAATCTTTATAAGGTTGACTCAACGCAGTCTGCTCATCTGATATCAGACTATGCAATGCTACTCTGAACTGTGAGGGACTTCTGAAACTGTGAGTCTGTAAATTGACAGCTGAGCCTAGCAAAGATGCTTCTTTCCCCTAGGTTTGTTCATCCTCGTTTTGGGCCCATCAAGTGTATCCGTACCATCAGGGCTGTGGAGAAGGATGAAGAACTGACAGTGGCTTACGGATACGATCACAACCCCGTTGGGCAGAACGGGCCAGAAGCACCGGAGTGGTACCAGCTGGAACTGAAAGCTTTCCAGGCTGCCCAGCAAAAGTGAAACGGGAGCGCCTTCTCCGTTCAGCAAACTGAAACAGAAACTTGGATCTATGCACTACCTTTATACTGAAAACTGGACAACCAGGGATTGTTCATACTGTTGCATCATAAATTTGCATTCTGTGTTAAGAGATAAGTTTCTTGCATACTAACTAGGTTTGACTGTGTTACTCATAGAAGATTTAAAATTAGCTAGCGTTGCACCAGTCTTATCTGGAGAAATTATTTAATATTCTATACGAGATGTGGTATTCTTTGGTAGCTTCTGCTTTTGCACCATATGCAAAGATGCCAAAAGACTAGACAGAAACTAAAATGGGTATATTGTTCACTTTTAGTCGGCAGACTTAGTGTTGCTCTCTATCTGCCTAGGCATTATTGTGCAACTGCATTTTGCATATATGCCACTTGTGATGATAACAGTAATATTTTGATATTCTCTAATAGTAGCATAATTTTGCCTTTTTAAACCTTTGATCTGAATCTTGCAATAGAGCAGTTTATTTATTAGCATATAGGAGGCTGGGTTTTAACTCCCCTTTCCTCTTGTCTGAACGTTGTTCTTTCTACAAATCCTCTTTTGCAGGAGAAAATCCTTTCTAACTAGTGGAAAGGCTTGTGTGTGTATGTGAGAGTGCTGTGTGTTGGTCTTTGTGGCTCTCTAAATAGTATAGCAACATGTCCAAACATAATATTTATCTAGCCTTTACGGCTGGCTTATTTTATTTAATTTATTATTATGACATGCAAATGAAACTGTTCTTTGCATGAAGATTTTCTGAAAGGAGAGAACAGATTCGCTCGTTGAAGGACTTTCAGAAGTTCATGTTCTGGAAGGCAAGGCGTTGCTTGCATTTGTGTCTGTGAGTTGGGTTGTGTATTTCACCTGTTAAAGCAGCCAGTTCTCAAGGCAAGAGTTCTGGCAATGAGGTGCTTGCATCTCCCATAAATTCTGAGAAAGGAGGTGTATGTATTTGGGGGCAGGCTGTAGTACTTGGTAAAGGAGAGCTGTATCTTTTGTGTGTGTTCAGTCGACAAAGAATATAGCCTTGTAGCCATCTTTTAGTAGTACTGGCTTAAGACACGGTGAAAAATTAATATAGTATGAGGTATCAAAATGAGATTTTTTTTTTTTTTAAAAAGAAAAGATATGAAAAGATTGTTTTCGAAAGACAAACAATGAATGTAAAAACATCACTCACTGCTCATATTTAGAAACAGCAGTCAATCCATAGCTTTGTTGTAGCCAACAGTGGGGGGTTGTGAATATTCATCTGTAGGGCTGTGTTCTGGGGTTTTTCAGGGGTAGGGAAATTGTGCATTTTTCAGATACTGTACTGGTCTTGCCTAATGCTGTATAAGAGAGAAATAATGTATCATCTCGGTCTGGATACTGGAGCCTTTCTGGGACTCTTGATGCTCTCTTTTGGGTTTAGCAGCTTAGGGAAAAACTCAAATGCATTTGCAACACTTTCTTTAAATGTTTGTAGTTTAAAGAAGTTTGTATATATGTAACATAAATGATTTGGGAATCAGACCTACCTTTCTATTGCAACACATTTTGGTTGGTTGCTTGAACGGTCAGAGGTGTCTGGCTGTCTGGGGAGGTGGGCAGGGAGGATGTGTTGGGGACCTGCAAGTGGAAGGATGAGGTTGCTGGTTTGTGCAGTCTTGAGAATCCTTGCTTGAGAATCCTGACTTGCTGAGCAAAGTTGGGAATTACTCATAAGAACCTCTCTAACCTGGGGCTCTGTTTATTCCCTGTGACTGATCACAAACCTTTCCCAGCACCTCACCATTTAGGCTTGCACAGAAGCTACTCTGTGCTTGTGCTGGGGCAGGGGACAGGTAGGCTCAGGGTGATTTGAGGCTTTCAGTGGTGCTCTGAATGTGAGCTGTGGCACCTCCTGTCTCCTCGTGCTGGAGACTCAGCTCTGCACCCCATCCAAGGCAGGGGGCTGGCAGGGACTGAGCTGAGTGTGCAGAGACAGGAACTGCACCTCACAGGTGAGGGAGAGTTCTCAAAAGTCAACCAGGAGCACAGTCTCAGCAAATAATCCTCAAAAAGAAATATGCATGACTTGATCTTTCCCTGCCTGCTCACAGGTTGTTACTTAAATCATCAGCCAACTGCAGAAGAGCATTCCACACTGGTAGGGAGCTGTCATGTGCATCTAGTGGATTATTCTGCCAGGACCATGAAGTTTGCAAAATTGAGGCTGAGTTTAAGTGCAGGGAAGGGGGAGAGGGAAGATATGTGACTGAACCCTGCTGGGAATGGATGGTAACTCCTTCCACAGTCTTGATAACCTGCTTTGGACTGCTGGCCTCTCTGTGCTCACTGGAGAATTGTGCTTAATATGTTCTGATCTCTAGAGCTCCTTTAGCTTCATTCCTGATCAGTCTCTGATTCCTCTGCTATCTCCTCTTTGTGTGGAGTTGCTTATGTTTTGATAGATTTGTCGGTCTTCATATTGCCTGATTTTTGAGATAAATAGAAAATAGGTGCTCTTTACGTGTCAGGCTTGAAGATTGTATCCTAAAATAGGGAAATACAAGGAAAAAAAAAAAAGGCACTGAGGTATCCTGTGTGTTCTCCAAAAATTTGGTGACAGTCAGGCAGATTCTTTTGCACACTGGTGTAGCCTGGTAGCATGCCACAGCTGTGGCTCTTGTCTCTGTTAGCTCTGCTGTCCTTCTCTCTGCTCTGTAAAATCTGTTGGTCCTTCTATAGCTCCCTTCTTCGGTGACCAACCTTCTATAAAAGTTGTGATTATGAAGCTGCTTTGGCTTGATTCAGGACCAAGCCTTTTAATTCTTCCTTGTTTTCTTTCTCTTTCTGGTCTGTTAGAGTGGAGCTGGCTGGGATGGTTTTTACCACTGGGTAGCAAAAGGGCTCAGTGTGTCCTTCAGAGGTGTGCATTGGCAGCCACTGGTTCAAACACAGGTTAGTTACAGAACTCCAAATAATGCCTTAACTTGGTCAGTGTATTGCAGCTCAGCTTCTGGGGCTCACTAGATAGCAAGACCAGCTTTGCAAAACTATTTATCAAGTAGTATGATGACATATCTGTAGACACGAGACCCACACCAAACCACGGTTTTAATTTGGGGCAGAGGAAGAAGTCATTTTGCAAAAAAATCCGTTTGGGTCTGTGGGATGCAGCTGACTGTCGGTGAATATGCAATAAATAAAGAAGCTCCACTTCTCAAGAGTCTGGCCAAGGACCTGTCCTGTCGGCTCAGAAACTGGAAGGAGAGCTGATGCCTGTCAGCTGAGCCTGGGTGAGCAGCTGGCTCTCAGAATACTCGTTGTGATTAGGATAGGAGAACTTGGAATTGCTCTTTCCAGGGAGGGATCAGTTCCCGGTGTCTGCCTTTAGTCTGCAGTGCTGCACATGGCTACTCTGTGATGGGAGGGTTGTTACCTGAGTTCCTTATGAGAAGGAGCCTGTATCAACCTGTATTAGGGGCTGCTGATGGTCTCTTCAAAAAAAAATAAATCTGAAGTGGATCTTTCTGCCATGGCAGCACAGTGTTCTGTCACCAAGAATACAGAAGCCCAGTTTTCTGGAGAAGTGATTAATCTTGGAGACAAGAGAGCATGAGAAGTTAGAGCTGAGAGCTACCTGCTGCTGGGTCACTCCTCTGGATAAGAAGGAAAAGGGCTTAAGCCGTGGAGGGGGTGTCTCAAGTTGAGTTTCAAGCTATAATTTTACTTTTGGGGATCTATTAAAATACCTGGTTTTCCTTCACAAATCTAAAAAGGCTTTTTTTTCCTTTTTTGGTTTTGGTTTTATTTTTTGTAGTAATTATAAAAACCTACCCTTCATAAAGACCTGCAAGTCTTAACTGTTGAAAAAGTCAAAGGAAATATGTGGATGATGCTCTTCAGCGGTTGGAGTGAGAGCTGTGAGAGCTTTCTGACTTTTTCCACAGTTGCAACGGTGCCCACTAGGATGGCCCATGCTTGTAATCACTCCTGGGCAACTCCCTGTGCAGGTTTTGGGACCTTTTGGAGGTCAGCTGCTCAGCCATGCGGGGCTGCATGTTTTGGGAGTGACTGGGCAGCCTTCTCCTCAGCGCAGTCCTTCCAGATGCAGAGCTTGCAGCGTTGCACACAGTTGGCAGTGGCTGGGGTTTCTTTCCTGGGGTTGTAACCTGTTGCTGGTGTGTAAGCAAGAGCTCCATCAGGGATTTTGCACCCTCTGCCAGGCACTGGAGGAGCAGAATAGCCAACATAACCTGTCTGGCGAGAGAAACCAAGAAATGGTGGAAATTACCACTTTTCTGTTTCCTTCCCAGCTGGCTGCCCTTATCCTTCGGTCAAAACCAGTGCTCACCGCTTGGGTTGCACCAGGGACTGTACAGTGTCACTTCTGTCCCAGAGACCTCTGTGATTTTTGTCCTTTCGCTCAATTTGATAGTCTTCTAGGAAAATGCTGCCGTTGCGATGAGGTAACGTGTCGTACAGAGCCGGCCGCCTGCGGCTTTGTTTTCCTGTGGCACAGCAGAATCGCTGGAGCCGCGGGTGCCTGAGGAATTCACCTCCATGCACTTAAGAAAAACCAAATTGTTTTGAAAACAATGTTACTGAAGTGTCTCCTTACATGCTGGGGTGCTGCATTAGACGCCTCTTCCTCACTTTGCGCTGCGCTGTCGTGTGCTGAGAGCATCGGGGCGAGGAGAGCAGGCGTGGGGGCAGCTTTGCCCGCGGGTGTCGGTGGGCTCCGCGCTCACCCGTGCCCTGGGGTGAACTTGTTCCTTTTGCTTTGTGTACTGGAAACATGAGAACTCTATTTTTTGGACAATGAATTTCTAAGCAGTCTTATAAGGGATTTTTAAATAAAAAAAATAAAATAAAATAAAACAAAAAGGTGCAAGAATGAGTGCATGTTTACTTGCCCCAGATCAAAGGTTTTGAACACTAAGGTCACTATCTGTTGAATGGACCCTCCTCGTGGCGCTCTTCTGTCTTCGGGCAATGGAAGCTCCTGCTCTTTTCCTCTTACCAGTTTTACTGTAACTATATTTTTTCCCCCTAGGAGAAATATATATACAAAAATTGTAAGCAATTAAACGCTCAAGCCATAAAATCACGAGTGCGGGAAGACCCTCTTCACAAGTTTTAACGTTTGTATGTAAAATGATGTTTGTATGAAATATTTTCATGGTAGAATGAATATTTAAACAAAAAAGTTCCAGTAAGATCTAAACCAAATTTAAAAGGATGTCTTTTTGTAAGACACACGTGTAATTGAATACCAGTAAGTAGATAACTATTTTTTTAAGGGGAGATGCAACAAATGATCCTTAGAATTACAAATGGTCGTTTCTGCTATTTGGGAAAGTATTTATGCAGCATTACAAGCAGCTGCCATAAATAATTGCAATAGCAAGGCTAGTCACATCTTCAAGACATACCTCTCAGCTTGTCCCTTCGTGATATTGTACAAACGACCCATCCCTCCTTTCTGCAGATTCCCTCCTAGAAAACTTTTCCTACTGTAACTGTAATGAATTTAACTCTGAGCTAAGATCCAGACTAAAATTGTGTATTACTTAACAGTTTCTGCTGGGCCTTCTGCTATTTTAATACTCCTTAGCCCATAATTACTGGGTGTCTCTGTTCTGAAGAACTAAGTGCTAAAGAATAATCTTTGGGGTAAGCTTATACACGTGTTAGCGGTTAACCCCGGAGTATTTAACTTGTATACAGTACTTGATAGGTGTTTTATGACATTTGTACTCGAACTATGAGCCTTACTGAACATCTGTAGGTTTATTCATGACTTTTAAAAATGGATAACTCTAAGAAAGATGTTTACATGAATGATGATTGCCCTTCCTTTGATGTTATGAATGAGGTTTTTATAGTGTGTTTGGGCGTATGTGCAAGGAAGCAAGAAAAGTGTTTCTGGGGAAAAACAGACTTGACAAACATTTGTAATAAGTGAATTTTAAAGATTGCTTTAATTGCGCTATGAAGGCAATGCAGATATTAAAATATTCAACAAAGAAGTGTTGTCTCTCCTTGTTATTTGCGTGTCGCGTTTTTGGGCATCCTCTGACCTCTCCCCCGGCTTGTGTGTGCTGTGTGGCCACGGTTGTTGCTGATGGAGGGGAGCAGGATTTCACACAGTTAGCACATGTCTAGGCCGTGTTATATAAATAGTGAATGAAAAGCAGAACACTCCTGACACCACTGCTTTGGCATTTTTTCCTGGCACCTTTGCTGCTTATTCACTTCTCTGTTTTTCAATGCACATAACATGGGCTTCAGTTGTGTTGTGGTTTGGAAGAATATCCTCCTTGTATATGCTAAAGTGTCTTTAACAATTGTATTTTAAGACATGAATGTGCACTGGTATGTTTTTCTCTGAGGCAGTTGGATGTGCAGTAGCTGTGCCTTCCAGGCAGGTAAGCTACTCCTCTGTCTCCTAATTCCATGTACACATCCTGCTGGGTGAGTGGTGAGGAAAGGGACAGCGCTTTCAGTGCTGCCCTGCCTTCCTCAGTGCTTCAGTGCCTGCCTTCCTGTCCTTTGTGATCACACTTGCTGTGATCTTGGCCTCTCATGCCTGTGTGCAAAGGCTGTGCCCTGCCCTCTCTACAGAGGGGATGTTTGGACCCCCTGTAGGGTCAAAGATGCAGAGAGGACTTGTTTGACCTTGACATTGCCCCTTGAACCTTCACAGTCCTCGAGCTTGGAAGGATCAGTGCTTGAGGTGTATTTGCAAGCTGTGTGGGAAATGACACTGGGATTGTGGATGGTGCCATGGGCTGGCTTCACCCAAACTGGCTGTGTTCCAGTCCTACACTGGTGTAATAACCCAGTACACTGTGGAGGTGCAGTGGGTTTATTTAAAGAAATTATACCTAACCTGTGAATTGATTTCTTAAAAATGTTTAAGGGGTAGGTAGGCTTTAGTGCCATGCTTGCTAGGATTTGGCTGGAGGTGCTTGGGTGGGATAGAATCATAGAATCATCCAGGTTGGAGGACACCCTCAAGATCATCCAGTCCAACCATCCCACCCGACACTTCCACTGTAACCTCCAAACCACTAAACAGTATTACCCACCTCCAGGAATGGTGACTCCACTACCTCCCTGGGCAACCTTTTCCAGTGCCTGGCCACCCTAACAGTGAAAAAAAAAAAAATTTAATATCTAATCTGAGTCTCCCCTGTCTCAGTTTAAGGCCATTTCCTCTAATCCTCTCACTGCAGGCATGGTAGAAGAGACCGACCCCACCTCACTACAGCCTCCTGTCAGGGAGTTGTAGAGAGCAGCGAGGTGCCCCCTGAATCTCCTCCAGGCTAAACAAACCCAGCTCCCTCAGCCCTTCCTCATAAGACATGTTTTCTAGACCCTTCACAAGCCTTGTTGCCGTTCTCTGAACACACTCCAGCACCTCAGTGTCCTTTTTAAAGTGAGGGGCCTAAAACTGAACACAGTACTCAAGGTGTGGCCTCGCCAGTGCCGAGTACAGGGGGATGATCACTTCCCTGGTCCTGCTGGCCACACTATTGCTGATCCAGGCCAGGATGCCATTGGCCTTCTTGGCCACCTGGGCACACTGCTGGCTCATGTTCTATCAACCAGCACCCCCAAGTCCCTTTCCATTGCCCAGCACAGGTTCTTGTGCTCTTTCCAATGGAGAGCAGGCACTGATGTGCCAGGGGAGCCTTTGCCTGGGGGGACCTTAAAGATCATCCAGTTCCACCCCTCTGTCATGGGAAGGGACGCCTTTCACTAGACCAGGTTACTCAAAGCCCCATCCAACTCTTAAATACTTAAGTGTTAAACACTTAAACACTTCCAGGGATGGGACATCCAACAAACTTTCTGAGCAACCTGTACCGGCTTCCCCAACACACAGTATTGCGCACGTGTGTGTGTCGTGTGAAGCAGCGCTTAAGGTTGCAGCTGGGGGAAAAAAAAAAACAAAAAACAAAACAAAAACCAAACCAAGCTGCTGTAGAGAAAGGATGGGTGGAGTGCCCGGTCCCGGCAGCTCAGGAGTGCCCGGGGCAGCCCGCGGTCCCGCCCGGGGCCGGGGCGGGGGCGGCCGCTCCCCGCGGAGGGCGAGGCGAGGCGGGCGGAGCAGGATCAGCCCCGTCCCTGCACAGCTCCCGGCCCCTGCACGGCTCCCGGCCGGCACTGCGGAGGCTCTCCCGGCCTCGCCGGGTTCTTTTCCCCCGGATAACACTCGGGACTCTTTTCCCCCGGAAGCGGAGCCGGAGTTTTCCCGGTCCCTGCCCGGCGAGTGCCCGCCACAGGTGAGCGCGCAGGGCGGGGCGGCGCCTCCCGGCCGGCGGGACCGAGACGGGACACGGGGGGACACGGGACGCGGAGCTGGAGCCGCCCCCGGACGGGACGTTCGGTGACCGGCACTAGCGAGGAGAGCTGGGGCTCTGCCCTGGCGCCTTCCTGGAGAGGTGCGGAGCTTAACTTCCAAATGGAACAGAACCCAGGCACCCGCCGCGCCTCTCGGGGCAGCAGAAACCCCGCAGGGAAAAGGACAGCGGTGGAGGTGACGGTCCCACCTTCCTCTCCGGAAGCGTCAGGAGCGCTGTCCCAAGCACCTGCCAGGCAGCACGCCCAGGGATTTCCCAAAGGGCCACTCACCTTTGGTCGCTGTCACCGCTGGCTCAGACGGATGAACTCTGTACTCCCGGTACAGGTCCTGCGCACCAGCCGGTGCCCCCCGGGTGCTGATGCTCCTGTTCCTTCTCTCTCTCTCCCACCTAGGAAAAGCTGTTCTTCCTCCCCTGGAAGGCCACAGCGCCGCTCTCCAGCCTCCGTGATTTATGTGTGACTCGGAGCAGAATGGATCGCTATCGATACTTCATCTTCAACCAGAGGAACATGGTGGTGCTGGGGATGTTCCAGATAGCCCTCAGCACGGTGTGCGTCGTCAGTGGGTTCATAGATGGCATTTTCAGAACAGAGTCTCAGCTGGGCAGAACCAGAGCTCCAATTTGGGCTGGGATGGTAAAGTTGTACTATAATTTCTGTGCTTCCCCCCGCCCCCCCGCTATCTTCTAGCACTTATATTGGGAGTGGGAGGGAAGCCAGGATTTCTTGCTAGCTCTTCCCTGGTTTTCTGCTTTGAACCCAGTTAAAGTTTCCTTATCATGATATAGTCAGAAGAGTGCAAACAGACTTCCCTCTGAAGGAGCTAAATTAAATTCGTTTCTACTCGATAATGTAGGAAATGGGGCATAGTGACAAGTGACAGGGCGTTTGTTGCAGAAGCATAGTGACCACAGAGAAGCCACCAAAGATGAGGAAGGGAACACTTCATCCTCACATCAGGTAGATGGACATCTGGGTGGTGATCTGTGTCCCACAGCACAGTGCCCCTAATCCTCTGTACTGCAGTGGAGGTCCCTGCTCCCTGGCATTCAGGACCCTGCTGAGCCACGCTGCAAGGAAATTGTGCTAAACAGCTCTCTTCAGTCCAGAGGCTGCCCATCTCCTTCCAGTAATTTCTTTCTTTCCTTTGCAAAAGGCATGTGGACTTGGGAAAGCAGTGCACATTTTTAGCACTTTAAATCAGACTTATTCCATCAGTTTCATTATTTGGCCAGAGCCATAAAGCTCCGGTCAGAGGTAGCAAGGCCATGGGGGAAGCAAGTGGGCAAGATGCACGTCACACATGTCCTGGAGATGCTGCAGAGGAAAACAGAAGAAATGAGCAACTCTCTTCCCATTTCTGACCCAACAGTTACTCTGATCCAAGCCTTGAAAACAAGGACTTTTCATCTGCGCTGTAGTAGTTTATCTTAGGAATCTGATACTGGTCTCCCAGTTACCAACTCCTTTTGTGCTCTGCAGGTGATGGGAGTCCCAGGCGTGCTGGCTTTGTTCTCCTCTCAGAGGAAGAATCCAATCCTTGTAAGCTGAAGGGGCAGATGGGTGGTTGTGTGTGTATGGGGCAGGGGCAAGATGCTGGGGCAGTCAAAAACTATCTGAGTAGGGAGTGAGCTGACTGGTCCTTCTGCAGGATTAAGAGCCCATTTCTTTGAGTTATCTGCAGAAGAGCTGCTGTGTTCATAAGCAAAAGGAGGATGCAGTGTTACCTTGCTTTCTGCTGCAGCAGACAGGCACTGGGTCTAATAACAAGCAAAAATCTGTAAAAGCCCTTGGTTTCGAATGCTTTTCTTTTGGTGGTCCTTCATGTTGTTAAGGACTGTTTACACTAAAGTAGGAAACAAAGGCTTGCACTTCCTGGGCAGGTCTCTCCAGCCATGCAAACTCCAAGGGGGGATATTGTATGTAAATACAAGATCTCTAAGGACAGAGTTTTGGGGTAGCACCTGTGATTTAGATTTGGCACTCAGCTGTAGCTCACAAATTCAGTATCCTGGAAACCTTTACTGCTTTGTGTTTGGCTTCCTAGTGACTGTTGCTACTAGGTACGTTGTTGTGTTATGGGAGGTCAAAGGTTAGTCATTATAATGCTTGTTAGTACATTTGCAAGAGGATAGCTTTAATTCTTTTTCTCCCTAAAATTCTCTGTCTAGGTGAATGTACTGATAGGTGCTTCCATAATCTCTTGTGTTGCCATCCTCATCGTAATAGGTTATAGCTCCTTCACACTGAACTATGGTGAAGAGGAGGAGCTGAGTTCTGCTCCAGTCCATGTTATCCATACTGTAAGTATTGATATAATGATAATTTCCGGGGAACTAGACACCCTTAATCTGCAAACAGTACCAGAAACAACTTATAGACAGAACCAGAATTCCAGGAGGTGTGCACACTAGGCCATGTTAGCTGCTACCGCTTCTGAGTGCAAAAGGGTGTGGATTGAGCCATGAAAAAATACTGGTGCTGCTCATGAAAAGGTGCTGACTGCATTCCTGGCCTGGTTTGGGACAGCAATTGCTAGGCTTGAATCCTTTCCAGCATGGACTTTAGGTGATAAAGTTACAGCAGTTACAGGTCAACTGGTTAAACCTGGGTATTATTTCAAGTGTATCCTCCTCAGTAAAGCTGAAGAGAAGGAATG